CAGGTGGGCTCTGAAGCTTTCTGCTTACAAGTACGAACTTTTATACAAGCCTGGCAAAGAGCTCGGCCACGCTGATGCTCTTAGTATACTGCATCTCCCAACTGACACTACTGCATTACCACGACCTGCTAAAATCTTGCTAGAGGAGGCATATCCGAGACTCTTTACACCAGTTGTTGTGGCCCAAGCCACACAAAATAATCCAGTTCTGCGCCATGTTGTTCTTGCTGTTCTGAAAGGAGAAAGCCTCCCAGTAGGACCAGAGTAGAACCCTTTCAATACCAGAAGCTCAGAACTCAGTTTCCATAAAGGTTGCCTACTAAGGGGATCAAGAGCAGTGATCCCAAAGTCATTGCAGGCCATAGTTCTTGATGTTCTTCATGCCAGCCACCCAGGTATCCAGAAGCGCAAGATGATTGCCAGGAGCCATGTTTGGTGGCCAGGCATTGACAATGACATTGCCAACAGCGTGAAGAGCTGCGAGACGTGCCAGACTCAACATCGAGCTGCACAGCCGGTTCAGCAGACACCATGGCCTTTTCCACAACGACCCTGGTCAAGGCTTTACATTGATTTTGGGGGATCATTCCTAGGTCACACATTCTTGGTTATTGTGGATGCATTCTCAAAGTGGATAGAAGTCTTTCCTGTGTCTTCCACATCTGCAGAAGCTACCATTTCCGCCTTGAGAATCGCATTCGCTCAGCATGGCCTGCCTGATGTTATAGTTTCCGACAACGGTCCTGCCTTCACCTTTGCCCAGTACCTTGAGTTCTTAACTCGAAATGGAATACGCCGCATACTTGTACCACCGTATCACCTTGCCTGAAACAGCGCAGCTGAATGAGTTGTACAAACTGTGAAGAGCAAACTCAAGAAGTCTGGCTCTGGGAACTTCCAAACGCAGATCTCCAGGTTCCTGTTCCACTATAGGACCACATCACATGAAGTGACAGGTCGGCCACCGGGTGAACTCTTGACGGGAAGAATGTTCAAGAATCCGTTGAATGTCATGAGGCCAAGCCTGCAGGCCTCTGTATTCCTAAAACAACCCAAGCAGAAGTTGACAGAGGGTCCCGGCAGGCTCCATCACTGCAGCCAGGTGATGACATGTACGCTCGAAACTTTCGCAGGGGTACACCCTGGGTGCCTGCCAGTGTTGTTAACGTCACTCCATCACCAGCCAGAGTCCGTTTTCAAGATGGCACCTTGGGGAACCGACACAGTGACCACTTGCGCCTTGTGCAGACAAAAACATTGGCCTCTCCTGAAACTGTTATCGCTGCAGCTCTACCACAGTTGGAGCCGCCGCTTCTCAATGCACCAGCTGTTCCGGAAGTGCCTCATCAGGAACAGCTACCAGGAACTAGCTTCTCTGGGAGTAACTGTGCCACGGAGAGCGATGGTACTGCGCTCAACAGTGGTGTGCATGTGAACAGTGACTTTGTCGTGCCTGTGCCTAGCACGCCGAAGTTGCGACGTGGCACGAGGACTAGGAAACCAGTGAATAGGTCCTCCCCGTAGTTTTCCTCCAAAGATGGGAGGAGTGTTACAATGTTAGCTCAATTGCAGCGCCCCCATGCGGCGCTGACAGTTGTGTTGAGCTGCGCAAGCCTGGCACAGTGGTGGGTGGCCGTTTTGGAAACAATAAACACAGTTCGTTCTGGGCAAAGGGCTCAACATGTTCTCGTGTTCTTCACGGGCCTGATGGCCCACTGTTCACGGTAGTCACTACCGCCTGGCCATCCGTTAATCTACACATGTAACAATCCCGACCAGCGTAATGTCGTTGTCGAACCACAGTCGGTCGCATACCCTACAGCTAAGTCGCGTTTGAAACAAGCGACCAGCTGCACAAACTACTTGGCTCACCCCGCCTTTTTCGCAACACGCTCGCGTTCACGAGCAACTTCCGGGAGCCACCTCTCGTTGACAAGGTTTGCACGCCGTTTCTCGCTCCTGCACCTCTGGTCTTAAAGCTCGCTGCTCACATTTCGCCGCTTCTTCTCGTGCACGAAGTTCGGAATTCGCAGCTCGGAGTTGCCGTTTCGCAGCTGCTTTTCGTTCTCCGAGTGAAGGATGCGCAGCTCGCTTCAAAGGCTTGCGTTCAGCGTCGTATGCTCATCTCTTCGCAGTCTTGTCTCCTGCGTTACTTGCTGTTGTTGACCCTGAAGACAGTGAGGGTGGGGTAACGTTGCCTCGAACGAGCGGTGGGACGATGATGTTGGGTTGTGCCACAGTACTGGTTCAGGGTACTGTTGCCATCTGTTGCTTCCATCGCATCTACTCGAGTCAAGCAAAATGTGAAGTCAAGCCATAGAGGGGGAGGAGAGAAGGGATGAAAGGGCAGAGGGGGAAGAGAGACGAGCCAAGCATGCGCACTGGGGGTGTGGACGCCGCCGACGAGTGACATGGTGGGACTTAAAAATGTCCCGCAATTAAAATGAGACCTGCTGTAGCGGAAACCGCAACACTACCAAATGACTTCAGTGGAGTCTGTATGACTAGAGTGACTTGTAGAAAGAGTTGGTTCATTCTTACGGTAGCTTTCAGAGCGAAATAAACACGAGAGAAGCTTGTTCTTCCCGTGTTTATGTTGTGCTACAAGCTACCGTAAGAACTACCAAATGATCTGAATGATGTATGTTAGCTACCTTCTAATTCATTTACCTACATGTGTGCATTAAATGCATTAAATGCTTCAAAAAAAGTTACATTAAATGCTTCATTGCTTAAAATCAGGTGTCGTGTCCCAAAGAGCTCTTCACTGAGTTTTCATTCAAGTACTCGGCCATAATGCTCACTGAAACGTTGAGCAGTAATAAAATTGCTATATTCAAGCTGCCCAGTTACATGGCGTTCCAGGAACTAGTTCCTTTCGGGAGGAACACCACCGTTTCATTCAGGTCAACTGCAGCGGCGTTCCTTTTTTTAACGTTTCACGGCATTCAACAGGCGCGCGCACGCACGGAGCACATCATACAGAACAGGGCGGATAGCCGATCGTGTGAGGCACGTAACTATGCTGCGTTAGAGTGTACTAGAACAGTGGAGAGCTCAGAACGGCCGCAGCACGGATGTATCAAAAGTGAAGCACAAACAGGGTCAATCCGCTTGTGGCGCTCCGATCGGTCGGTATTCTGCAATGTGCTATCGTTTGAAGAGTTGCAAGCGGGTCTCTCGAAGTGGTCGATGGGCTGAATGCTCGCTAAGCTAACCAATTATCTGGTTTTCGTTCGCGGTGCTTTAGACACTGTTTTAGACCTTGTCACTCATGTGGAGCACAAGAGGACAATCGAAAAAATAAAAATTGCAGCTTTCCTATGCATTAGGCATGCCTTTGACACAGTCAGCCACGTACATGTTTTGCACGGGCTATATAGTCTAGAAATGAAGGGACGCCTACTTCGTTATATTTCTGATTTCCTAAGCGGCCAAGCTGTATTCATGGCGACAAGCACTGGCAGCAGCACGCTACAAAGCCTCATAGCAGGTGTACCTCAAGGAAGTGTATTAAGCCCTATACTATTTAACATAGTAATGCACCAACTGCCAACTCAATTACCATCATCAGTACATATTTCAATGTACACAGACGATATCTGCCTCTGGTCGTCTGGGCATGAATGCCGGGAAGTACAGCATCTGCTTCAAGAAGGCATGGATATAGCGGCACGCTTCCTGACAGAATGCGGCATGGACATTTCAGCAGAGAAATCTGCGGTATTGCCTTTTACCAGAAAACGTCACGACCAGCTCAGCCTCTCCGTCAACCAGTCCGTAGTACCTGTTTTGCGCAAGTATCGTATCCTAGGCATAACATTGGACCACATGCTAACCTGGGGACCTCATATTTTCAACATTAAAGAGCGGGTCAAGCAGACACTGAATGTTCTACAAAGTATTACAGGAACCAAATGGGGTGGCACATCAAAACTACTTCTGAAAGTTCATAGAGCTCTTGTTCGACAAGCCATCACGTATGCATTACCAGTGATGCAAAATATGTCTCAGGCAAATGAGCGTAGACTAAACAACATCATAGCCCACAGTCTTCATTTTTACTTGGGCTTACCCCGCTCAACTCACAGTGGCCTCTTAATCGCAGAAAGCAAGACAACCGCCAATTAAAGTTCTTCGCATTCAAGAAGTCTGCCCCTACTTCCTCCGCTTATCCCAAAGCATTATGCCCATCCGCTTCGTGAAAAACGTATGCAAAGAAGCGGGCTGATTAGTGATGCCTTGCGAGCTTGTGAGGCGGCCCTTCAACACGAACAATACTTGTTGCGTCCAGACATCAATTTTGCTCCTTGGCAGCTTGCATGACCTCCAGTCACTTTGGGCATCAAAGGGAGCAAGAAAAAATCCTCGATACATTACCTTGAAGCCAAATTTTTAACACATCAATAAATGTGAAATCATCGAGATCATTTCACACTTGTTTTCACCGATGGCTCTACAATTAACGAAACATCGACTGCGACTTTTCATATACACGCATATAAAATAGAAAAAGTTTTCCAAGTTTTTCGAAAAACATCGCCTACAGCAGCAGAGCTTGCCACAATAATTTGAGCTTCAAAATTCATTGTTGAAAGCCAGCAAAGGCAAAAGTGCACTTCTCAGTGCTGCACTTCTCAGCCATCCCGAAAATGGACACGGCAACGTGCTTATTTGCTTTCCTGTCGTAGATACAGGTCCCGCATGCATTTATTCAAAAAGTATTGTGAAAATTTATTATGTCTATATATTTACAATTTTGGGGGCCTAAAACTGTGTTTTGCCCGTCTACTTTTGGTGCCTAAAACTCGATATCTTAGTGCCTATAAATCAAACTGCTATACGTAGGTGAAGGTAGCTGCCAATAATGTGCTGGCTGCTTCAGAATTGGAAATCATATTAAGTAAGCACCGGTTGTCGGAACATTCCTTCTCTCCCACTTTCTCATGCTTTTCAACATAATGACATTACTCACACATGACATATTCAAGTTCTGAATATTCACACTGCAAAACAATAATGAAATATATTTTATTCAGCTCACAAATGGGTCACCAAAAAAATCTCAATCTAGCTAGCTTTTGGCACCAGTAAGTGAGATTTTCAACACTCAACTACCACAAAACTGACTACACGCCTCTCATATAATATCAGTAGCATGAAATTTTTAAACAGAGACTACTTTGCGCTGCTGTCAGTGAGGACTCCATGATTCAGTCAACAGGACGCCACCTTCCTTCATGCCATCCAAGAAAGCTTGAAGCTGCATCAGAAAAAAAGGCAAATATGCACAATCACATAGACAGTGCACTTCAGGTTAAGGACAGTGTAAAAGCAATTTAGCATAATTAACATGAGGCGTTAATATGAAAGAAACTTTATTTTTCCACTAGAGGTGTCACTGCCACGGTGTTCTAGTGGCTAGGGCACTCAGCTGCTGACCCACAGGTCAGGGGATCAAATCCCGGCCGCGTCTGCACTATTTTCAAGAGAGGCAAAATGCTTGAGGCCCGTGTGCTCAGGTTTGAGGCGCACGTCAAAGAACCCCAGGTGGCCAAAATTTTCGAAAGCCCTCTACTACGGTGTCGCTCATAATTATATTGCCACAATCTCTCCTAAAGTTTTGTCATCACCCAATTTCAATGTCAGTAACTCTCAGCACAAACCGCACCTACACTGTATGATACGCTTCGGGACTGCAGAAGAACATTTTAAGAATATGCCTACTTCGTGAACATTACAGATTATTCTGGAATCTATGTCCCCGCTAGCGATAGCGCTAGAATATTTGATGGCAAGTATATAAATGCCAACACGTTTGGCCGTCACTTGATCGACGGCCGATGCTCCGTTCACCGCTATCAGTGCAAGTATGCTACTGTAACCCAACTTTCCATTTACCGGGCATAGGTTCACCCCAATAAACAGTTTGATCTGGCCATCCAGTCTCCTGCCTTCAGCCATGTCACATCCCTGTGACAATATGGTGGTTTTGGAACATGAAGCTCCAATATATTATTATTTATTACTACAGGTGTCAAGCTATTATTACCCCTGAGAATTTGCAGCAGTGCCGCCTGGTAGGAGGCCTGGGTGACGTCACGTCAAGAACTTTTCGACCCCCACACTTGCGTGCAGCTACATGACATGCATTCCCTTAATACGCTGCCGCCCCCCCCCCCCCTTTTGCATTCACTTTCTCTTTGTCTCAAGCCACAGATAAATGACGAAAACATAATTGATAATGTTCCTAGTAATACAAGAATTGAAAAAAAAAAGATTCTGCCAATGGTGCCAGAGCTCGGTCATATGAAAATTGAAATCAAATTTGTGTCGCACTGCTGAAAATGGGGGTCACGGTAGACGACGGGGGTGAAGAGAAAGATCACGTTTCTGCTAACGTATTACTGCCGCATAATCATGTCGTAGTTTCGATCTGCGAGACTGAATTTGCGCCATAGGGTTAGGTTGTTCACGGGAGATTTTAAGAGTTCTGAGGGCTTCACCTGCACTGGGCTTAGTATTCGTATCGGAGTACGCATCTGCTTATCTACGAAAAGAGTCTTTCCTGCTGTCTCAAGCACTGTGCACGTGTGCAGCATCGTGTCTTGCAAGATATCTGCGATAGGCTCGCCCTAAAATAGCACCACAGCTGTTGTGTCCGTTTCTCTCTCGCATAGTTGCTCAGTCACCGTGGTCTTCAATTTCCTGTTTTTCTTGCAATAATTTCAATGCTTTGATTCACTCAAATTATTTAGGTTACGCATGATTGAGCCTAAGCCTGTAAACTTACATTGCTGTCAGATTGTGTCATCGTGCAGCATCGTAGCTGCTATGTGCTCAGAATTACCACTTTACGCAGCCACCTTGTAAAGTGGTTTTTCTCTCAGTAGATTACCCTTGAGCATGAACCTGTAGACAGACGTGACGTGAGAGACCAGTAGTCACCTCAGTGAGGTGAAAGGTGCAAGAGACACGTACCTAACTGAGTGCGCTCATTTCAGCCATTGCATTTGTTTTGCAAATGTGAATATTTGCGGTGCTCGCACCTGAACCTAATTCTTTGTGACGCAGCAGTACATCGAACCAGAATTTCATGCAAATAAGGTTTACAACTAGATAATCCGTGACGATTGTTCAGAAATCTGCACAGCATTTGAGTAAACGAACATCTCAGCATTTTTTAAACTGTTGTGAGTGCAGCCGTATTATTTTATTAATTTTTCTAAATATGTTAAATGATTCTCATTACACACAGATTCACATGACGTTGGAGAACGAACCATTCTGCCAAATCACCCCAATTTTTCGCAGAGGCAGACATAACTTTTATGGCAAACCACAACAAAGTTATTGAACTGAAAACATCCAAATATCATTTAGAATACTTCGGCACACATGTTTTAGCCCCGAAAGTTGTACTGAAGTTAAAACCACTCAGCATGTTTTCATAGCATGCATTTTCGGAGTTCGCAGTGTAAACCAGAGGCTTCTTACTTTCAAACAACTTGATTTTCACAGTGAGTCTCCCATTCAGATGGGAGTTCGTCTATCCTAAGCCTTACTATAAAAACTCTTTACAGCTTACATAAATTTCACTAGTTATGAAACGTTCCAACAGGTACTTTGAAAGTTTGCAACGTGAAATTGGAGAGTAATCAGTCACCATCTAATCTCTAAAGTAGTGGGGGGACGAGTGCAAAGAAGGGCGAAAAGCGGGGGCGAAGCAGACGAGTCCATGACGTGAGGTCACAACGCCACGACAGCAGCGCCACCAATGTTTGCTTTGAAGTCTAATACATCGCCGTTGGCAGGAGTGTGTGAAAGGCACGCTTGACCCCCACCCTCCTTCTTCTGAGCTCACAGCAGCATTTGCTTCTACCCAAGCTATATAAGAAAGAAGAAACCAGCGAAAAAGAACAACCATACAGGACAAGCGCTGGACTTATAACTGAATATTTATTGAGGAATTGCACACAACCCAAACACATGAAACAGCAGCACATGCGTAAAAAAGGACCATCTCAGCCATGTCAAACATGCATGCCTAACCCTACAGAGCATGAAAAGTGTGAAACAACAATAAAATTAAATGCGTATCTTTGTGTAGCTCATGTTGGGTTTGTGTGCAGTTGTTCAATAAACATTCAGTTGCTCTATTAGAAAAGTATCCGACCTTTGGTGGAAGAAAAAACTCAGCCCCGGCAGCCACTTTCAGGAGGTATGAACTTGGTTGTTGTGGTTGCACAGACAAAGTGGGTGGAAGTTTGGCATGTGACGCAAGCAACACCCACAGCTGTCATCGACGTGCTCCGATGCCTCTTCGCAACTATTGGCATCTCTCAAAAAAAGTCATCTCTGTCAAGAGAGGCAGAGGGACATGATGAATGTCGCCACATTATTCTTCAGGGCCAAAGCAAAGCGGCTGCGGCAGCGTGCGTTTGTACCGCCAAGTGTGAGAACCCGTTCCGACTAGCATCTAGCATGCACCTAGAGCTGCCATCAGCTGCACAAGAGCCACAAAATGATGATGATAAAAGTCGATGAAGATGAGCTACTGATCACTTTCTCCCCCCCCCCCCCCATCCGCAGAAATTAAACCAAAAAGAAAACTATGAGAGTGTATATACAATAGTTTTTACGTCCCGAAACGGAAGGGTCTGTAGACAGTGCAGGTCATCAATCTAGAAGGTTCATCGCGAACCAGTGGGTCTCTGGTGGGTGGCTTTGGGAGTTAGGCAGCGGGCAAGAGTCGTGACGAATTCAAGTTGACGGAAACAACGGTTGGTGTTGGGGACACAGGTGTCATGGCTGGACAAAGGAAACCTGGCGGGTAAACCACAAGCCGAATCAACGTATATGACCACTGTACACACTTGGGTACAGTTGACCTGAGTAAACAGTTGCATGACGGTGGGACACTTCAAGAACGGCAGAGTCAAATGAACGTGGATGTCGTCATGGTTCGTGGTGGGCAAGACGCAAGCCAAATCAACAAATACGACTAGAGTGCGCACTTCGGTACAGTTGCGTGAAGGCGAGACACTTCAAGGATGGCAGAGACGAATGAACGTGGATGTCGTTGTGGTCTTAAACTCAACGCCGCGGTGTATGCTGAAAGCAATCAGGGTGCGAAAGAGAGAGGTTTAAATATTTGCACTGCACGAATCTCACTAGATGATGTCGTGTTTCCTGCACAAGCGCAGCCATCGACAGACATTCGTATGCAGAGTGACGCTGCACCGAGTCAATAGCGAGACCAACTGTGAATCAATCTGTCGTCAAAACTTTCTGTACTGGCACGAGCAATTGCGGCACATGGGAGAGGGAGTCAGTGCTTTTGCAGGTAAGCTCGTGGTTCCAGTGTTCAGTCAGTTGCCCTTGAGCAGCAGTTGCTCATCAGAACAGATGTTGGAGTCAACAGAAAACACATTGGATACGAACAAGGGACGGGAATGTGCGTCAAATGAAGTCATCGAAAAACCTTGGGTGACCAGATCAGGGGAGCATGTATGTGCCCAGGCAAACAGGTTGTCTGCCCCAAGGTTAGGTGGGCACACGTAGTCTGCTTTACTTGTTGCGAGCCAGATGAGCGGACCTCGAGAGTTTCAGTCACAGCTGCAGCATTCTACTGCACGATACATCGAGGGCGATGCTAGTGGCTGCTGGCAGGAAGCGCAGAGTGCCGAGGTAAATAGAAAGTCGTCGTTGGACATCGTCATCGGCGAAGCCTCCAGGATCGGGAAACTAATATTGGCCGTGACAATGTTCGTACTAGTCGTGGAAAACTCCAGGGCATAGAGCGAGGTAGCCGTCATGGAGCCTTATGTGTCCGAGGGGTCGTGGGCTGTGGAGGTCGGAGAAGACGTGTGCGTGGCAAGCATGCCTGAAGGACCATCGGTCGAGAACGTCGAAAAACGCACCTCGTGGCGGACTGGTAAATGGCAGCAGGAATATCTTGAGCCTCGTCGGGTATGTGATTCCGTGGTGGACTCGCTACGCTATTGGCTGGACAAGATGTTAAAGCAGAGGTAGCCGGGGAAGCGAAGCCTTGATCAAGTGAAGTTTGCGCCAGGTGGTACTGCGCACTGTGATGGAGGGGAAACTTGAATGTCACGTGTCCCCGGAAGCGGGCGGTAGGTGTTGCAGTAACAGGCGAATATCACAGCGCAGAGAGCATCATATGGCTGCGGGCTGGCTGTACATGCAGCAGCAAGATAGCATAGCTCTACTGGCAGCACATTGAGCAAGATGGCATGCAGT